TGCACCGCCCGCGCCTGCACCCCCAGCTTGCCGCAGGACCTGCTGCAGGCGCCCCACTCCTCCGCCACCCACCTGCCGGGGGGAAGACGGACACGGCAAAGGTGTTAGAGGCGATGCCCACGTTGGGAAGCTCTAAAATCACCCCCACAGAGGGGATGAGAGCTCCTCAGGCTGGCCAGGGAGTACTTACACAGGCTGGGAGCACTCCTGGAGGTTGCAGCGCCGACGGATCGGCTTCGGCTTCTTGCCATTGTCGCAGAAGTTCCTATGCACCATCCGGTTGTCGCTCTTCCGGGCAGTGAGGCAATGGGTGCGGGGGCCCCCCCGGCTCCCCATCCGCCCCCTCCCCTGCATCCCCGCCGGCACACGTGCTCTCAGCTGTCACCGCTGAGGTGGGACCCAAGCGGTGCGTCACCCAGGCTTGCAGAGGATGCTTGTGTGGGTGCCGGACCCCCCAGCCTCCTGGGGTCATCCAGGCTGCCAAGGGGTGCACACACAGAGAGGAGCGAAGCAGACACAGCCTTCTCCCCCTCCCTCCCCCAGGCTGTGCTCCCAAAAGCCCAGGTCAAGACATCAGAGCTTCCTGGTGGAGACACAGCCACGAGCACTTAGCGAGCTACAGATCTGGCTCCGTTTCTCCAGATGAGGGAAACATCGCAAGTCCAGCCAAAGCACTGCTATAATATGCCAAATAAGCTGCGCTTCCTCGGGAGCAGACCAGCCTGGGGCAAAGCCAGCCTTAACCAGGAGCCGCCTGCTGCCCTGCCAGCAGCCCTGCTGCAGCAAGGTCCAGGGAGCCAGCGAGGACTCGCTTTCCAGCTCTGTAAGTCCCAAAATATTCCAGCCATGAGCTGGATGGCACAAGGTGGAAGTGTCAGGTCTTCTCCATCATTTGAGGGTCAGGTAGGTTGGAGGTGACCTCTGGAGGTCTCTGGTCCAGCACCTGCTCAGAGCAGGGCCAGCTTCGAACTCAGATCCCACCGGCCATATCGAGGCAAGGCTTTCATCAGCAAACCTGTGACACCAGCATGCACGCATGTGTGCTTCCTCCCAGGGGGAAAAAATCCAGCAATAACTCTGCCAGGAGCTCACGTGTGCTACCTGCCCTCCATCACAGCAATCTCCATGCAAGCTTTAGGAGCAGCCAGCTGCAAAATCACTACTCCTTGGCTCAAACTGGATTAAAAACAGCCAACGAATTAAAAACTCATAGAAGGTACATGGATAGACAGACAAAGGTATGCACACATGATCACATAAGCCTGTTTTCATAAGAAATCTGGCTGAAATACCTAAACTGCTCTGCAATAATGGTTTTTAACACTCATGTTACCACGTGGTAGACCCCTCAAACTACAGAGGTGCAAATAACACGGGTATGGGTGTGGAGAAGAAAGCTAGGCCTCCACGCAGTACCAGGTCTAAAGCCTTGCCATGTGTGATCTTGGGGAGAAACAATTTTGAACAGCATCTGCATGTTTCCAAGCCAGAGATGCCCCAAAGGGCTCATGCACTGTGTAACGCACCCAAGCATCCTTCCAAGACCATGGTGTAACCTGCCACAAAGGGAAAGCTACCTCCTCCGCACGCCTTGGAGCACTGAGACCAGCTCTTGAGGGCCCACTCGTAGGAATCCATCTCCTCAAGCAGGACATTGTTGTTTCCGATCATGGGCAGCAGGTCTTCATGGATGATGTACCTGTACATCAGGCTGCTCCTCGCCTCCTCCTCCTGAGGGATGACCTGCAGGCAGAGAGAGGACAATCGGAGAGGGGCAAGGAGAGGAAAGGGCAATGCCATAGGAGACAGAAGGGAAAAGGAGGCCATCAAAGAAAAAAGAAGTGAACAATGACCACATGGTATTGTAGACACAAGAGTAGGAGAAACAAACCCCGTTACTACCTCCAACATGATTAGGTGGGTTCCAAACACAGAGTCTGCCCTTCGGGAACATACCTCACCAGTTGTGGAGAAAAATGCTGCCCAAACATCCCAACTCCAGCCTTGGATGGCATGCCCCAGCCTCTCCTCTGACCTGCAGGACCACAGTCTACGCCCAAAGCCAGCGCCAGCCACAGGTATGGATGGCAGTGGAGACCTACCCTTCCCCAGGTGCCCAGGGAATCCAATCTCTAACTCCCCCAAAGACCAGTATAACTAAAATGAGACATGGAGTCATAAGCAATTTCTGCACAAAGCAAAATACAGTTGGATTCAAAGGCAAAGACCCAAGCGATGTGTCTTTATGCCATTCTTGCACACAGCTCACTGCCCCTTCCATTCGGCTAGCTCATTTCCCTAGGTTTAATGACATGCCCTATGCCCTTTCGCTGCCAAAATCTTTCCATTGCCTCTGACATCCCACCTTGGACCACCTCCTCTTCTCTGCACTGCTGGCAGATGGTCATCCCTGAATTCCCCAGAGGATGCGTCAGCCAGGCTTACCAAAATGCTGATGGCGTCATGCAGAGGACCACTGGTTTTCAGGTTCTCCTTCCCATGTTCAATGGTATACTCCCACTCCAAGCCCATCTCAATGAACACATGGCTTCTCGCTTCTTTGCCCTTGGCATTAAGGATGAAGTTACCTGTGGCTTGATTCTTAACAGCTGGAGGAGAAAGGAGGTATTTCAACATTGTTTCCTCTGGTCACTGCCTTTGAAGGACTGGAATGACCCAAATAAGACGCTTTGGGTGGGAATTGTCAGAATAGGGCCGAGAAAGAGGTAGCAGGTGAAGGGAGAGGTGAACCACAGCATACTCACCGATGCTGTGGGACGTCGGCTCCATCTCTTCTATCTGAAGGTGCCTCGCCCCAGCCGGAATCTCAAACATCTTCAAAATACCCGCTGAAAGGTAGGGAGGAAGGATGGAGGGAAGAGAAAGAGCAGGTTTGCTCCAACCAGACATGCACCTGCTCGCACCCACATGTGAATCCAGCCGACCCTGACCGAATGCGCTATCAAACCCACCCAGCCTGCTCACCTGGCTGCTTGGGGGTCTTGGCCAGTGTGCCCTTCACAGTCCGGCAGTGGGAGTTGTCCCCCCCGCAGACGCCACATTTGTCATCCTGCTTCAGGGAGCCAACCTCCTTGTCACAGCCGACATGCTGTCATGGGGAAGAGAAGACAGGCACAGGGTTACATCCCTGCGGCCCCACAGCCCATCGCTCCACCATCCCCATAGCCCTTTGCTGCACACAGCATCGGTCCCCGGGCTAAAACATGCATCCCCATGGGGTAGTGGGTCAAGGGGATGCACAAGGTCTCTCGTGGGCAGGCAAAGGACAGGGACAGTCACACAGCAGCCGTCAGCTCCTCACCACGCACTCGCCCCGGACACAGATGCTGTAGGGGTCTCGGTAGCTGCACCGGGTACCGTCGTGAACAACCTGATTCATGAACACCACGTCCCCCGTTCCCTCGGACTGGCAGATCAGCTCACACTTCTGAGCATCTGCGGCAAAATAAAAAGTAGAGGGGGGAAAAAAAGTGTTTGTGGAAATACATTAGGGTGATTGAAGACAGAAACCCATCTCAGCTTGCACCTCTGACCGCAGCCAGACATCCAAAGCCCACGCTGTTCACGTGGCTTATTATGCGGTGTCCATTTGCTGCTCAAGAGCCTGCACTTTGGCCCAGCACACTCGGGAAATTAAGAGAAGGCAACTGGACAGGACACAGTACGTGACACTGCAACGCAAGACACTTGGCTGCGTGCATGAAGCAAGCCAGGCAGGCGGACCTGGCTCCCATCCCAGCCCAGAGCGGCACGCTCTCCACTGTGGCTCCGGGAGCGGGCAGGCAGCACCGTCACCCCACCGTCTCCAAGGAAAACAAGCCTTCTGCGTGCCAAAGCACACAGAGAGCAGAGATAAAACTTTCAAAGCAGCACAAACTGATTTATCTCTGGTTACCATTACAAGGGGCTCTCCTCTTACCAGCGCAGGAGGAGCAGGGAGAGGTTTCAACATAGGCTGATCTTCTCAGCCCACCTCTGCTGCGCTTTGAGACAGCAGGAACCAGAGCAATGTCTGGGTTTCTCTACGTGACAGCTGGGGACAAGCACAAGAGGTTGATTTTAAAGATCTGGCTGCTTGATGCTGGCTTATCGCCCTCTGGTTCCCAGCTCAGGAGCTTTCCACAATCCAATGTCTGTGTGGCTGGCAGAGTCCCCATCCCATGGTGATGGCCACCAGCACGGCCTCCTCTGGAAGGGAAGGCAATTTAGCTCCTGCTCCTCTGCTAGGACCCGCCGCCGCTCACCATCGTGGTGCTCATAGGGAAGCCAGGAGTGCTTGCTGTTCTGGTGGGTGTAGTAGGAGTTGCGCTTGGAGCATTGCTGGGCACGGAAATCCTGGTAGGGCCCCGGGCACTCCTCAGCGTTGCACACTTGGTACTCGTAGGTGGCTCCCGGGCAGTGGCGCCCGCCATACGATGGGCTGGAAAATAAAGCAGGTGGGTTCAAAGAGCATCGGGAGCGGATGCTGTTCAAACACGATGCAGCTCAGCGCCCGAACGCATGGCACAGCCCAGGCAGGAGCAGATGTCCCCATCCCTGCCGGCCAAGCGCACAAGGGGAAGAGTGAGGAACCCCTGGCTCTCAGCCACTTCCAGTTTTACCCTGGCTGAAAGGAGGGAGGCAGGGGCTGAACGTACGGCGGGTTGTCGCAGCTCCGGCTGCGCGAGCGCACACCTCCCCCACAGGTCCTGGAGCACGAGCTGAACTTGGACCAGGAGCTCCAGCTGCCGTCCTGGCTGTAGGGCTGCTCCGATGTCTTCCAGATGCAGTGACCCTTGAAGCACCACTGGAAGGGAGAAGAAAGAGGGGTGAGCTCCACACCTGCCTCTTCGAAAGCGCTTGGCACCAGCAAAGAGAGCCCTCCTGCATCCACAGCACACAAAAACGGCTCCCAACTTGCAAAGCTTGAGAGGAAGGTGCTCTTCATCACACCCTTGGGCACATCCCTCCTGTAAGAAGCAGGACCAGGAGCCCTCCAGGCTGGCTTGGGGACGAGCAAGATGCATCATTTCACTACCGACTCAGGAGCACAAGCAGACCGTGGCTTTGCTCCAAGAGCCCAGCACAGCCCCGCAGCCAGGACTCAGGGCAGAAAATGTGGCAGAGGAGAAGGGATAAGCAGGGCAGGCTCCCAACACGTCCATGCTTCGGATCTGGTAAAGCAGAGCCTGCAGCTGCATAAACCCACTCAAAAACCTCTGCAAAAATCTGCTGAAGGCACAAGCCTGGGGAATGCAAAGATCCTGCTGTAAAACGAATCTTTTTTTCTTTCCCTAACACTGTATTTTTGTGTTCCTGGACTGGATTTCTCCCTGCAGCCAAACTGCCTCTCCCCACCCCTGCAGATCCTCGGGCAGGCACTGAACTGCACCTGCGTCCAGGACTGGATCAGCCCTAGGGATGTCTCCCCACCGGCACAGCGGGGGACGAACCCAAACTTTTGCAAGGAGCACAGCAGCAAGCTGCTGGGCATTTTGGTAAACAAAATCCAGAGCTCTGCCCCTCTTCGCAGGCACGCACACAGCGCCCGGCACGAAGCTGCGGTGTCACCCCATGGGCACCCGGAGCCAGGGTTCAACTCCAGCCCTGAGGAAAAGCCCAGCCCTTGCCCATCATGGCCTGAAGGAAGGACCTCCCAGTCCAGATGTTGCAGTCCCCTGGAGCCATGTGCCAGCACGATGTGTAACACACCTGTACACGACCCAAAAAGCCTCACTTTGGAAGCTTTTGGCAAACTGCCATTCAAGCACTCGAGGAGGCAACGTTTTCAGTGAGACTGCTGGGATTTATACGGAAACTCACCAAAAGTTGTTGGACACTCTATGCCCACCCATTCTCCAGCAAAGAACCACCCAAAAACTACAAGGGTCAGCAGCTTTTCCAACGTATCCACGCTTTCATATTGTACTAACAGGCATGCTAAGAGGGCCTAAAGTAAAATCCTAATGACATCATGAGGTCGGACATACAATGATGTCAGCACTCTTTTGCCAGGTGACAAAACAAGCCCTGCTTCTCTGCAGAGCAGGTGGATCAGAAGAAAAACAAAGTCCTCATCTGTGCACAAGGGGAAAATGAGTAATGCCAGCTAAAAACCGGGCACCCACCACCTTCTTCCCTTGAGGGCATCCCCACCCCCTCCCAAAGGCAGATGAGGCAAGACCAGCCCCTACCTTGCCTGGAGAGCACTCAGTCCCATCCAAGGGTGGCCCCTTCTTGGTCTTGCAGAAGTAGGGGTTGTCCGGGTGGCTGCACCACAGCTGCTTGCAGGGGTCGAATGTGCGGAACTGGGGAGCACAGAGGAGCTGGGCTGAAACAGCAGTGGGGAGGTCCCTCCTCACCACCGCAGCACCTGGCTGGGGGTCCCGGGGACAATATGGACGTGCAACCTGTACCAGCTCCATACTCACTGCCGTGCATGTTTTGTAGCCCACGCCGAAGTCGAAGCGGCACTGCTCGTCCATGGAGTAGTTAATGCCCGGCAGCTCGGGTAACGTGGGCCACTGGTGCTCAAAGGGGTCATCCAGGAGGCAGTCGTAGGAGCTGCAGAGACGCAGGGCAGAGCCAAAGTAGAGTCAGACATGGAGGATTTCCCTCCTTCACCCCCTCCCTCACCTCCAGCCCTCTCTCCAGATTCAGATATGGAGAAATCTGAATTTTCTTGCCGCTGACGCTAAACTACCCACTGCTGGAAAACATGTTTTCAGCAAAAAACAACTGCACAGTGTCCACCAAAGACAAGCTGCCTGCAGCTCCCTAGGGGACAGAACACCATGGCACTAGTGGGTACCACCACTGCACCCGCTTTCCTGCTACTCTTCTTGGCCCCGACGCACAGAAAGCTCCTGGCCTGTTTCTACACCTTTTTACTATGCACAAAATATTTTATAGCCTGAAGGGGAAACTACACAGGCTGCCCAAAGCAAATGGCAAAAATATTTGAGATCTGGATCTGGGCTCCACCAGCACAGAGCTTCTGCAGATTATTGCTCTGTTGACATCTCCAGCTTTTATCAGGCTTCTACTTGTATCCAGCCTCTGCCACCCAAAAACCAGTTCAGATTTGTGCAAGGAATCAAAGTTGTTAGTAGAAGAAAAAGGGAAAATACCCTCCCAAGGACCTGTTTTTGCTATTCTGGCCAAAACAAGCAATCCCAGTGGGGACCCGTCCACCGCTTCCTTCACGCAGGAGCTGCTGGGTACAAAACACATGCAGTCACACCATCTGAGGGGAGAACACCCCCCTGGCTTAACCCAACCTACTGAATGTAGCGGTTGAGTTCCTGCTTGCTGCAGCGGGACCAGTGGTAGCGGTGGAAGGCAGCCTGGACCAGCGGCGCCATGATGCTCCCCATGCTGGTCTCATCGGCGCAGCGGTTGCCCTGGCCATCATGCTCCATGCCTAACCTGGTGGGAAAAGCCTGTGTAAATATGTTCCCGGGGTATTTACACCAGCCCATTGCGTGCCACAGCAGTGCACACGCTTGCACCAGCAGAAAGTCCCTTTTGCAAAGAAGGGGGCATGACTATGCTCATCCTCCCACCACCACAGTGATGGTGACTCCACCACAGCACTGGAAGAAGGGGAAAAAAACACCAGAGGGGACAGCCCTTGCATGTTTAATTCAAGGCTGTGGACCTGGCCGAGGAGAAGCCATCTTCATGGTTGAGGGTGCAGCTGCGGAGCGGGTGGCACATCCCCGTCACTGGCGCATACCCTGGGGCAAGAGACAATGGAAAGACCAAGGAAGAGAGGAGAGAGAAAACCTTTGAGAGAGGGGAGAAAAAATGAAAAATTAAAAAAAAAACACCCGCAACCTGGCTTCACTGCAACAGGAGAAATGAAGAGGAATGTGCTGAAAAGGAGGAGTTGCCCAGGTCACTTGGATGGCAGCCCAAGGACGTGCTTACCAGTATGACCATCCCAGCTGCCAGTGCCAAAAGCAGGCTGAGGTTACACTGAGGCTCACCGGCATCTCTCTGCCCTCGTGCCAACGCACCTGGGCTGGCGAGAAGGCAGCAACGGGACCCACAGGTGCTTTATCGGTGTTGGTGACCACCGCCTCCCAGCCTAGAAATGACATCCCCCCCCACACTTGTTCATTAAAAAAAACATGAATGAAGAAAGAGAACGAAAGGTATGCAGCGTCCCCCAGAGCCCTGCCGAAAACACAGCCTCGCTCACTGCAGGCCGCAGGGGACCCCTGCCATGCACCCGCACATGCACCCGCACCCGCCCTAGGCACAGGGGAACCCCCGCCAGGCAGAGCTGGGGAGGACCATGCACCTCTCAGACCCCAGCCCTCGATCAAGTGCAGTGCAGTGGGGCAGCTGTGGGCAGGGAAGCCTTTCCCCCACCCATTCAGCAATGCATCATCTCGATTTTGGGGGTTTTTCCCTTTTCTTTCTCACTTCTGCCCAATCCAGTTAATTCCTTTGCACCTCCTAGAATTTACTTTCCAATTGTTTTATATATATATATATATTTTCTAAAGACTGACCCTTTTTGACAGCAAGGGAAGGGAAGTTAGTGAAGGAAGGACTTACAAGTCCAAGAGGCAAAAGGAGGGCAGGACCATGCTGGACAACTCTGCCCTGGGGATAGGGATGCTCCAAGAGGAAAGCTCAGTGAGCCAAGAGGGAGGCTGAGCTGCAGCAGGAGAGGGGAGCTGATGAGCTGAGGGTGGATTCATACCCCTATGTCTGCCCTCCTGCACAAACCCTGGCTAAAAGCAGGGTCCACAGAGCCCACCCGCCAACATCCTCATGGGCCACTTGCTCCACACCAAGCCAGCAACTCTGACTAATTGCCCTGGGAGAGGGTGGAGAGAAAAGGACGTGCCTGCACTCAGCTTAATTCCTAAGCTGAATGAGCGGGTGGGTCCCAGCACCACCCAGCTGGTCAAAAGGACAAGAGATGAAAGCAAAAAATAAAAAAGTTTCCCACAGTTCTGCCCCAAAGTCAACAGCAGTTGACTTTGTGGCTGCACAAAGCGGATATGATGCCTGATGGGACAAGGGACGGGCTTCTGCTGCACCGCTGGACACCCAGAAGATACCATCACCCCAGGCAGAAGGCAAAACCAAGGGAGTTTGGGGTGAGCACTTCTATTGATATTGCTATTTATCAGCTGAGTGGAGATCTTCCAGGGTGTCCACCTGCACTGGAACTTGTAAAGGAAACTTCTCTCATCGTAATAATTTATTTTTTCAAAACAAGCCCGGACACGAACCTTTGAAGGGCTCACTCACACAGTATTTTGTGGGAAGCAATGGATGCATATTTGCCTGTGCTCCAAACGACAGAGAAGTCAGGTGAACCCAAGTTGCCAAGCAAAAAAGGCCAAGATTAAATAAATACTCAGTTCTCATTACATGCAGAGCAAGTTCTCTTCTGCCTGCAAAGCACCATGTAACCTCAGAGAAAACTCCACAACGACAAGGATCTTCTCAAAGCATCTTCAATAAATACACCCGGGGTTTTATTTACTGAGGGAAGTGTTTGTTTTTCATCTTCTCCACATTCAAGTGGGCAACGAGACTTACTCCAACAAACAAACAAACTAAAACACCTTAAGAAAGAGAGCGGAGAAATTATGTGCTCAATGGGCACTGCAGTCAGAAGTAAAGCAAAAGGTAATAGGCCAGACTAAGAGTGTGAGAGAGAGAATCAGATAATTAGGTTTGACCATATAGGAATTAGTCAAATCACTTTAAAAGATTCCCTCCCCCCCCTGAAACTTTCCACAGGAAAGAGCAAAGACGTGGAAAGTTTTCTGGACAAGATGAGAGCAAACATATTTTGTCTAGGATGGAAATGGGACACATTCCCAACCAAAGAGGCTCTGGATGTCTGGATGGGAGATGGGACAAAAGGAATATGAAAAAGTGGATGGTGGATGCTCAGGAAGGCAGACACTGGTCTCATAATTAAGACCCCAGTGAGAACTGGAAGATGTATAAAGTGTTCTCCACTGAGAAGGATGATGAGAAGTAACTACCTGGAAAGTACTTAAATGATAGACTAGATTAGCCTGCAAACGCTTACCAGACGCACACAGGAGAAGCAGAATGTCCTCATCATACCAGCAAGACACCAACCAGTCTCTCGCTTCCTACAAATGCACTTTATTCTTCTTTATGGACATTTCCTACTTGCTTTCAGCTGCTCTGACCTTCTACGTGGACCACCAGCCTGCTCAAAGGCCAGCTGTGGGAGACTGCAGCACAACAAACTAACTCTAAGCAAAAGCACCCTCCAGCCTGGGCCAGAAAGCCCTCTGCTCGCTGCAGAGGGGCACGGCACTCCTCTGGTTTAGACATGGTTGCAGCAGCAGGAGTCAATAATTTACAACTCATCTCTCCACCACCAAGACGCATTTCTCTTTGAAGGGCAGAGGTTTATTTGCAGCCCACGTGCAAGGGCAGCGCAGCTCAGCTGTCCCTCCTGGCCCTTCCCCTTCATGCCTTCCAGCTTCCCTCAATTCCCAAAGCAACAATTGCATCAGCTTTCCAAAATAACTCCGCGTTGGCCACGACTGCTCCCACCCCATCAAGAGATGCCGTGAACAGGGCTGTTGCCAGCACTGAGAAGTTTTTGTAAACCTGCTGACGGCTCGGCTTGGACCTGCAGCAGAAGAGAGCTATGCCGCAAGACCACAATGCTTTGCAAGGACTTGCATCCAACTTAACCAGTGCTGTGCTACACCAGACGTTGGTCCGGTTTACTGGCCAAGGGGAGGTGCCATGACACAGTGGGAGGTACGAGCCATGTCTGGTGGGGATGTGGTGACGAAGCACGGTTGGCTTGCCAGCATGGATACAGCCTGGGTTAAGAGGACCATACAGGCTAATGAGTCAGATTCCAGCCCCATCTCCATTGCTATTTGGGCACACAACCATAAGGAGTGATGAGGCATCAAGTTAAACACGGGCTTGACATTTAGGCTCCATTCCCAGGTCCCTGTGACTTGGAAGACTTTTTTCGCAAAGGCTTCCTTTCTCCTGGCTTGTTGATTTAGTCTGTAAGGTCTTCGGGGCAGGACTACCTCTGCCTTCAGCTCAGCTTCAGGCCACATATGAGCAGCGCAGGTGCTTGCCAACCAGCATACACACTCTGCAGCAGTGGCTAAAGAAGCCAGCAGATATTTGCCATCACCTCAGCAAGCCACTTAGATACCATCAGTGAACATATGCCATGAGTAAGTATTGGAGGTGTCACGGTCTAGCCCTTCCTTGCATATAGCCATGAGCTGAAAAGGGGTGGTATGGAGCTAAAAGGACATCGTGTTGAGGAAAAGAGGCAAGAATAAGCAAAGTGATATTATTCCAGCAGCCCAAAAAGAGGGCAGCTCCTGGTGGGTGAGAAGCACCTGCACCTTGTGCCATGCAACACAGCCAGGCAAGGACACGGCAGCCAGGCGCACTTCTGCAGAAAGCAAATGTCCATCTCAGAGATGTGTGAAAAGCAGGGAGCTAGATCCACAGGGAAAAGGGGAAGCAGCTGAAATGAGCATCCCTAGAACAGGGCTACTCCACCAATCTCATAACTCCTTCCCACCAAGGGAAAGTTCAGCCAGTCTCCCCCTCCTGCTGACATGCCAAAAAAGGTCTCTCCCCAATGCCTTTGGACACAGTCATTTTGCCAGGAAGGGTCTAGAAAAATGAAACAAAAACTGGTATTTCACCCCCACTGCTGTGTGGCTCCAGACAAGGAGCCCAAGACAGGTCAATGGCTCGACAAGGAGGCTGCTGGCACAACGCAAGACCCTTTTCAGGGAGGTAATCAAGCCAAGAATGGAACTCCTTCTCCATCTCTTCTTCCTCCTATGCATACCAGAAGGACTCATGCTACAAATCAGTGTGACACTACCAGCATGTTCATCGCATCAAAGGGAGCCTCCTGATGGGAAATTCAGACCTTGACAGCAGTGTGGGAAGGAGGAGTTGGCAATTTGGAGGAAGAGGGCTCAGGAGAACTGGGAGCAGTCACTTCTCACGATGCCACCAAAGCATCCGTGTTCCATATGAAGCCATGACACGCCAGAAGCGTTTCCTGCAAAGTTGTTTAATTTTTTTACTAGGTCTGTAACTTCTCAGACCACATCAGCACAGCCTTTGCACCAAGAGGGTGACAGCACTTTTGGCATCGCTCCTGCAGACTGCAGTAAGACCTCCTCTTGGGCCCAGGGTTTATTCAATGCTCCCATGTCCAAGCCCCAAGAGGGCCAAGAAACCAACCCGTGTAAAATTGGGTTTTAAAGGTCCTCCAGAGGACAGAAAGGATTGACTGGCCTTGTGAAGCTCCCTGTGGTATTCCACCTTTTCTATATTATTTTTAAACTTTTTAAGGCACTTTGGGACAAGAGGAGGATTGGTGCATGAAACCAAAGTATGAGCAGAATGAATAAAGATGATTTTTTATCCATTCAAGTTGATGCCCTGGATTAATTCTGTCTTTCTTCTATTTCACATTAAAAAATACCAATTTTTACAACCTTTTTCTGGAACTTGCTGGTCAAGAAACAGACTGTTTGCAAGACATTCTCTCCCCTCGCTGTCTTTCCCCCAGCAAACTGCACATACCTGATCGAGATAAATACAGTACCTTGCATACCTGCGGGACCAAAATCTTGCCTGGTGAGGAATACAGCGTGGTCATGGAACTCAGCATGCTCTGGGTCAGAGCGCTGCTGCGAGTGAGCCCAGCGGCAGACCTGCTCCAAGCTCCGAGATGGGTTCCCTCGCTCTATCAGGCTGACTGACTGTGTAAAGAATCAAAAAAAACAAAAAAAAAAGGAAAAATACATAAAAAGATGGGTAAGTTAGTGGGGGAGAAGGAGCCTGCAAGAGTTTGGGGGTTGGAAAGACTCCTAAGCAGTGCTTCCCCATCATTAGAAGCAACAACATCACACTTTGCATCTGCAAAGCATCTTGTGCCTTCTATTATTTAAAAACAGCAAAGAAATAATTCCCACAAATGGATGTGGTCTGGTACAGGAAGGTATATCACCCTTTTCGGTCACACCAGTGCTTGGGGCAGCAGTATATAAAAGAGGAGAGTGGCTGGGAAGCAAAGACGATTCGGATTCCCAGCTCCTGCACAGGCTCCTCAGCAAGACCTTGTGAGATGCTGGTGCTCAGCAATGAGCAGAGCAACTCTCCCCTGTAAAACCTGACCCACAGACACCAAGATCCTAGTAGAAAATAGGAGGAGGTGTCCAGGAATGTTTTATAGCAGTCACCTTGTCCCTCATCTTTTTTTTTGTTCAAGATTAGCTTTCTGCAAAATTGTGCCCTGTAAAACAAATGATGCTCCATAAAGTAAGTGATGCTCTCAGGCAGGTACCTGTTGAGCCGCAGTGGTGGGAAGAAAGGCAAGAAATATTGCCCTTCCCCTGGCCCTTAAGTAAAGCCACGGAGGTTTTATCCTAGAAAGTGCAAAGTGGGAGACAAGCAGCTACAGGAGGACTTGCTCAGGAAGCATCAGACCCAAAGAGCAGTGAGTTCTCACCTGGATTCAAACACCTGCCCATCCCTGAGTCTCTAGGAGGCACTGGGTTTCTGCCAGTTTCTTGCCACCAAAGGTATAACAAAATACATTGTTCTGAAGAAAATCTTTTGTCTGCCACATTCAAACAAACCTTAAAAAATAAATGCAACCTAAGAAATCACATGAAACCTTCCCATGCTTTTTCTGCCCGTGCCCAAGCCACCTGAGAGCTGCAGGACAGCCAGTGAAGTCTTCCAGAGCTGCTGAGTCAAGGCTGGGATGTTGGAGATCCAGGTCTTGGCTTCTCCTCACTAATAACCAGCTTCTGCCAATTTGGGAAGCCACCTTTGTCCCAGCACCTACTGCCACCCGACAGCTTCTGAGAAAGCCTCTCGTGCTTCTTCCCCCATCCCAGAGCAAGCAGATAAAAGCTGATCACAGTCACCCGCCGTCTCCCCAGGGACCTCTCTTTGCCCTGGGGCTGGACAGCTATGGGGGTGTCCAGACCTTCGGGCTCCAGCAACCAGCTAGATGAGGGTTCAAATTCATCCCTGCTCAGCACAGGGCTTTGACAGCTGACCTGAACAGCCACATTTTTCCAAGCCAGGGCTTACCTAAGTGCTAAATATTATGGTGATGAGACACTAAGCCATGGTGTCGCTACTTGCTTGCCGGCCTTGGGAGAAGCGGCAGCTGCCTTCTGTGCCTATATCGCATTTCAGAGACCCTCCTTCCCTCGTGGGGCAGGGTTCGAGCCAGGAAAGCAGCCAAAAAGCAGAGTCAGCCCAAATAGCATCTCCTCCTCATCATGTCCAAGCACTGTATTTACCTGGCGGTATCCCACCATGATCATCCTGACCAGCACAATGTTGATGTGAACGCCTAGGGACTCATCGTGATAAATTTCATCTACCTGAAGAAGGAAGTGAAATAAAACAGACAAGAAGTTAGGACCATCCCAGCTCCCAAGTCCCTCCTGTCTTCCACGCTCCCACGTTCAGCATCCTACCCCGCTTTCCAAGACCACACAAGCCCAGGTGCAAAGATCTCGTCTTCTTCCTCCCATGCCCCCATCCCCAGCTTTTTTTTTTTATTTTCCTGTGTGTAAAAACCATAATGTCAAAAAGCCAAGCTGGAATAAGCCAAATTTCCCCAGGATGGGTGGCTTAGATGGTCAGTGACATCACCCACCCCACCAAGAGAGCAGAGGAGAGCTGTGTTTCCCACGGGTGCTGCCTCCACTGCCCTGCACCTCGCAATGAGCTGTTTCCCCCTTTGGAGTATGAATTCCTCAGATGGAAGGAAACACTTCGGACTCCAACATCCTTGCGTTTGGTGGAAAGAAAAAATGTTTTTTTGGGGAGAGGTTTATGATTGTATCAAAGCAAGGGCATTACTCAGTTATGCTGGTGAGTCAAAGTTGACCTACAACTTCAGTAACCCCAGGAGAAGACAACACAGTGAAAAGAACAGAGAGGGCTTGTGAGTCAATAAGATATCTATCAACATTGGCTATTGAAGATGACTGCAAAGGAAATAATGAGCTATAACCTTTTCCTTCTGCGTTTCTAGGATGAATAAACAAATTCTATTCCTAATTGCTACCAAGAGAAGAAGACATCCAGATGAGAAAGGTCCCTGCAAGCTGAGTATGGCAAAAGCCAGCCACCAAGAGAGGCACTGAGCAGGTAGCCATAAACCCACGGAAGCGCAGGAGATGCTGCACCAGCCTTCACCCACCTGCAAACCACGTCTGAAAATACAGCTCAGACAAAAAAATTGTGATTTTTAGAGAACAGGACATTCTTTTTCCCCAAATGTCTCCAAAATGAACACTGCCACAAATAGGGGTTCAGTGCAGAAATTGAGAAAGTCAAACTAAAACCATTTTTAATATTGACTAGAATTAATGTTTAAATTAAATATACTTTTCAAACTTTGTCCAAGAGAGAAATAATTTGCCTCAGTTCTGTCTTCGCTTTCCAGACTAGATGAATATTATAAAGCCAGATTTATGGAGCTTTTCTCTTTTTTCCCTCCCTACTTGGCTTTTTTTTAAGCTTACATTTGAACTCAGGGGTTGAGTGACAACTGCCCCTTACTGGTCCCTGCATTCAAGCCTCCCATTTCCCAGACTGCATGAGTGCTTTATGAGCCTCCCGATTTATAGACTGTGCTTCTGTTTGAAATACCCACTGAGGCCATTTTTAAACCCAAAGACCCAGCATGAACGGTTCCTCGTGACAACTCACATTGCCGTGGAGCAGCTCCAAGCTTTGCAGAGAGATGATGCAGGTCCTCAGCCTGTCATTTGTCAAACGCAGCAAAATTGACCAAAAACACCCAAACAAACAGCAAAACCAATAAATAAATCGCCACTCCATCCCCATTAATGCATCCCTTTGGATGCACAGGCTGTAAGCCCCGCGGGGTCACTGCCTCATCAGTCGGGAAAGATAACGCTGCGCAACCCATCCCCAGCTCATCCCTGCTTCTCATGGTTGGGATGCTCCTTCATGGAACACTGCACCAGTAAAATTTAAAGGCATTTTGTAAGAAAAATGAGAATATGATGGATTTCTTGTGATGATAACTCTCTTCTTCAGGATGTGCACAGATGGGAGGAAGGTCATGCAACGCTGCAGCTGGGCTCCTGCCTGCGAACATTACTCATACCTACAGTCCCACCACAGCACGAAGCATCCATACCATCAAGAAGCTGCAACACCCTGGAGGGGGTCACACTCAGCCCCGTGTTTCGGACTGTAGGAGGCTTTGGCATCCCAAAGAAAACATCAGCAGATCTGAGAAGTCCCACATCAGGAGTTTGACCCTTTACAAAAATATTCCAGCCTTAATGCATGTCATATGAGAGGTAATATAACAGGGCAAGAAACGGGGGGAGAAAGGGAGAAATGAACAATACGCTATGGCCTTGAAGAGCCGGAGAGCTGGACCTGGGGCACTGTTCAGGGGAACAAGGGGGAAAAACACAGCCATGTCCTTCACTTTCCTAATTCTTTACACATTTTCCTTCACCACCAGCACTTGTCCCGGAGCTGAAGGACCATTAAGCCTCTGCTTCAGTCAGCACCTCAGCATCATCCACCGGCGCTCTCCTGCTTGCTCCCCACTCCCTGGGACCCCTCAGTCCATTGGGATGAACCGTGGTCCCGCCTTACGGACCTCTCCACCAGAGAGAGAAGCTCCCAGCCCAGCTGCTGCCTGACCTTGCCGTGACTCAGAGCATCCAAGGGAGAAACACAGACCTCTCCCTTTGCTGTTGTGCCAGATATTTTGGCAGGATGCTCAGCAGACCCCATGGGCAACAGGAGAGGATGCTCTGTGAAAGCCTGCTGCACAGCAGCCCCAGCCAGTGAGAGGAGGGTCACATCCACGGGGGGGAAGGAGCATGACCAGAGGAGCTGTTGGGGCAAGAGCTTTGCTCCGTGCTGGCTGACCTACCCCTCAGCCCTCCTCTCAGCAATGTCACTTCCCACCAGCAGTGCCTGCAAACAGTCCCCAGACCTGAGAAGAGCTCCCTGTCCCAAACTGTGCATCCCCAGACAACATTAGCTATTCTGGGAGAAAAAAAAATTTGGGAACAGCAATACTTTTCACAGACATTGACAAGAAAGCTCATCAACACCCTCCCAGCACTGCACATCCTCCCTCAGCCTTGCTAAAGAAGTGACTAGACAGCAGCGGGACCATGAGCAGCTACACAGCTTGTTAAGGGAATAAGACGCAAGAAGCTGTATTACTATAAGATGGGATTTAATCGCCTAAATCTTCCTTTTAAAGCAGTGCTAAATCACACTCTTGTCCAGCTAGCAGGGACTAGGTACCCCTCCAGCCTCTGAGCCAACGGGTTAACCCTAAACCCCAGCCCCTGTTTTGTTGAGGGGAGGGCAGCATTTAGGCAGGGATCTGTACCTAACAGACACCAGCTCAGCAGTGACCATTATGGTTAATTCAGAAAGCAGATGTGGAACCAGACTGCCCAAGGCTATGAACTTCCCTTGGTAGCCAGATATAAATAATTGATCGAGCAACAACAACAACAAAAAAAAAATCAAAAGGGCTCGGCACTTGCTGCCCATCAGCCTGCCCTGGAGCTGGTTCAAGCTGGCAGAGGGGATGGAAATCGGCCTGGAGAGCAGTTTGTGGGCTTGGCACAACTCGCCCTGCCCTCTGCGGATGCCTTTAAATGAGTCAATGTCTTCAGAGAAAATCCCCCCAGAAAATACCTGCTCAGCAAAGGCCTCCGGTAAAGGGACCCACCTTTCTAAAGACAGATGGGATAAAGATCTCCTTATCCCTCTCGCCCACATAGTTAGCTGCCCAGCCTGTTTAATACTGTCACCTGGCAAGAAATGCTTTCCTATTCTTTCATTTAAGAGGATTTTTTTCACCTAAACCAGCCCAGCCCTTAAGGCTAGCTGCGTATTAAGGGCAAGCCAGCAAAAATAACCAGCCCGCAGGACCCCGCTCAGGCAACTCCAAAGCCCCCAGCCCTGCAACACGCAGGGGATGATGCTAAGCTTTACAAAGAATGAAAAGAACATTAAAACCCTGTGTATCCTCTCCAAAATGCTCAACGAATTTGCAAAGTGCATGCCCCCCTCGCCCCCCCAGACACTCGCCGGCACTTGGAGTGAGCAAGGCTGCCTACCAAAATCCCTGCAAGTCTGGCCAGCCCCAAGTCTGCAGCCGCAGACGCGAGATCTCGACAGCAAACCGCACTGGCAACGTCTAGACCTCGCCGTTCTTCAGGGAAGCAAAACAAAGAGAGAGACACGAGAAGAATTTGCCAAACCAGCAGAATAGCTGACATTTCAAAACCCCAGATCACTCACTCAGAACAGCCAAGTCATCTTTAAGCTCCTTTCTTTTATACCGTAGCTCAATTTTCATGCCGGTGAATTCACCCCAAGTCCGCTTGCTGGGGCTGAGGGGGTAGGAACAGAGGCAAAGGTCCTCCTGACCACATTATCAGGTTTGCTACATGCACTCGCATCCCCTGCAGGGATGCACACCACTGTCTTCAAGGGCTGACCCATGTTACCCACATTTTCAATACAAAAGAATGGAGGACGGGCAAGGTTTGCTCTGCAGAGAAAGACTCTAGATTTTATCACAGCTCTCTACGCAACAGGCTATGTTGTCCCAGAAACATAGCAACAAACACGTGAGTCTATACAGGCGGTGGGAAAAAGTGCCTGCATGCATTAAGAGGGACATCAGAGGTATTTTTTGTTTTTAACAGTCAGCAGAGATGGCTCATGAACTACCCCAAAACAAATCCATACACCAGAAGGACTATACTTTGCCCATTATTTTAGACTGGTCTCCCTCCCAGAATGGCACTGAGCTCAGCAAATTGGTCTCTCAAGCAATCCATGCTCCAGCTTGGCTTTTCAGATAAGCCCAGGTTAAAAATGAAGCTGGAGGTGTGATTTTTTTTTCCCCTAACCCTCTCCTCCACAGGTTCTTAGTAGCAGTCTTTGTCCCCTGGGAACAATAATTCGGCTGATGTGCCAGAGGGGAGCCTGGCAAGTCTCAGCCTGGAGTAGGCTCTGACTCATGGGTTTCCCTAGTTACCCCAAACAATGGGAAAATACCAAGTACCTTTGCATCCTTGGCCAATTCATGGGCAATATCCTACAAAAACCCCATCAAACCAGTTAACACCAGTGCCAGGCTTAACTGAGCCCATAGCTCGGCTTGTCTCCTCTGAGCAGGTCCAGCCCCAGCCTTCAGAGCATCAGGACTGAGCAGTGGGAAGTCCAGAGGAGAAAACCAAGGAGTTGAACTGAGTGACAAGAGGCTGAAAAGCAAAGCAGAACATAAAACATTTCCTCTCCTCTTCCCCTCTACGGGGTGGTGGATCCCCTCCTTCTCCCACCCTTCAGCCCTGGCATACAGCAGTCACTGTGGCTGGGAGATGCTGGTTTTGCTTCGATAGCTTCAGAATCCCTGCTACGGGCAGCAAGCAAGACAAGGGAACTGCTTCCCCCAGCTGCCACATCACCATATATTTGTCCCAGCGTCAGGGTGAGGGCCAGGTTTTGCCTGGGTGGACACAGTGATGCTCAGCTCGGAGTTATGACATATGCTCAGATGCGGCTTCTCCGGCGTGCACAGCAAGCGATGGCAAAGGATGCGTTTCCCACTCACTTCAACCTGACCCAAAATCCTCGCATAGCCTCTGAGCCAAGCAGGGAACGGCAGGCTGGGAATGCAGGCTGGGATCCTGCGGGGACGGCAGCCTGCGGGGAAGCTCTTAGGTGCACAAAAGGAGCAGTCATCCTCGCGTCAGCTTCCCAGGATGGACACAGCGCTGTTTAATGAAAAGCCTAGCATGCACATTTCTGGCAATGAAATAAGGGTAGTGGGGGTTTTTTTTTAAAAAAAAAAAGTTCTCCATGACTAATCATTTATCACCGAGCTTCAGCTGATACTGAGTTCCTAATAAAAGGGTTTGTGTGTTGGGGAGAGCCCCAGGACCCTACCTACAGCAGCGCCGTGTTAAGCTGAGCCCACGCAGCACCGGAAAGGGGTACATGTCCCACCGCCCCCTCAGCACCCAACTGGGACCCCAGAAAAGCCCAAGAAAGCTTATTTACAACTTCTGAGCTCACTGCCCACTTTCCTTGGGCCGTATCTTGATAGGATAATTCCTGGAGGCTTTCCCAGCTGGCTCCCATGCAGCATCTCCCGTGCATACCCCAGCCCAGCTCATTAAGTCCTTTCCTCGTTAGAGGGCTGGCCAAGCCTCTCCTTCCCCTTGCCTCTAACTAATGGGATTAGTGTTCAGCTGTGTGGTCCCAGCACACTCCTCCCCGCCAACCCCCAGCACCCTCCTCTCTCCCTCTCCCCCCTGCCCTCCAGGACAGAAAGCATTTTTTTTCTGCTGAATCGGGTATTTTAAGGCAATCCGAGCCGGTAAGGAAATGAGGTGGCGCCAAGGGAAGAGGAGGCGGACGGAGGTCACGGCAAAGCTGGAAAGAAAACTCACTAAAAACCACAAAGAAAGAAGGGGAAAGGGGTGGGAGAAGAATGTATAGGAGGAAATAATACTTGGGGGAAGTATTTGTTGCGTGTATTATCCTGTTTTTTTCCCCTCTTTTATTGATACTGCTTCCCCCCCCCTCTTTATTTAATTCATTGCAGTCTCCAGCGCTGCCTTTATTTGAATAGACCGCGGTCCTCCCTTCTCCCAGCCCAGCATCCCACACATTCACTCCCTGAAAAGTCCTGCCCGCGGGGTTTAAACCATGAAATGCGCCTGAAAACCAGCCTTTTGATTAGAGCTGACAATCCTGAGGCATTCAAACCGTCCATCCCCCCCCCGCCCCGATCGGAAAGGAAAAATGACATCATCTCCGACCCCCGTAACATGGGAAGAGCCCTGGGTCAGAACAGGGAACCCTGTGGCTTCCCCCTTGCAGAAGCATTTAATACGCAAAGGGGAGAAACTTTCAGAGACTGAATTTAAGCGATGCTGAGAGCATCTTACCATGAGCATCAGGACAATGCACCAGAGAATAAAACGTTGCAATGAAGGCCTTTGCTTTTTAAAACCAGTATCTTCTCTATTTGGGTCTGGCCACGTTACACTTTGCCTCTAATCCCGCAAATCCTTACCCCTCATGTCAATAATTTCCCATTTGTTACTGGTAATATGGCTTTCAGCCTGCCTGCCAGGGCAGAAATAACGCCCAAACAAATAAAGAATCAATCAAAAAGCAAAGGCATCTTTATAGCTTGGTTATTTCTGAGCTGGTTGCACCTTTCAAACATTTTCCACCACCACGGAAAAGAGTACTTAAACAAAAATAAATGGAGGCGAGGATAAAGCACGGAAAACAAAACAAAAATGGGACAGTGCACAAAAGTGATCTTTGAACGCGGACCCTGTTTGCAGACGTTCGGGTGTTGGCGGGAGCAAACCTCCTGCAAGATGAGTAGCTGAATAAATATTGATGCTTCTACATCTCTCAGGACTTGGGGAATTTTCTTTCTTAAAAAGCAGTGCAGGGAATCAGCACAGGCTGCCCCGCGCCCCGCAGGAGAGATGCCGAAGCGGGGCTGCTATAAAGCTGCTGTAAACTCTGATCCAGACATATCTGACTAATCCTCAAGGTGCAGAGGTTTTCCAGGGAACATGCAAAAAACTTCTGAAAATCTATAAAAATCTTCCCCTCATCAACAAATATTATTCAAAATAAATAATAAACATCATATTTACAAAATAAATAATAAATATTATCATTTCAAACTAAATAGTCAACAGCCACTCTCTTTCCTAGCATTTGCTGAGATCTCGGCCACGAGGAGGAGATGGTCTTAGCCAGGAGAAACAGAAGACACTCTTGGACTCAGGTGACAGTAACGGCAACCAACATGCCAGACCCTGCCCGTTGGCCAGGGGAACGTGACAGACATGAAGATAAAAGGGCTCTGCTTTCCATCAGTTGCCACAGCTATTAAATGCCAGAGCCGGCTGTGCGAAGGAACAACCCTTCCTGCAGCACTGTTCCCCTCCCACACCCATTTTTTTTCCAGGGAAACAGGAACTGCAGCATCGGAAGGGCAGAAAACAACGGAAGCC